TTTGAAAAATGACTTAATCTTGAAAGGGAAGGAATGCTCTTTTTCTTTCAAAAAAATATCCAAATCTTATTCTCTCGTACTTTAACTCTGCTAAATGAGCCTATTTTCAAGCCGACAAGTAACTTGTGTTAATTAAGTGAGGAAACATGCGAAGAAAAAGGTTGAAAAGGTAACTAAATTTTGGAATGATGCGGCATCGATTCTCAGAGGACCCCTCAGTGTTTGAGTTTGAAGAATGTGAATGACAGTCAACAATCAGGATTGAGATGACAACCGGTGAAATGCTGTTATAAAGTAGAACAACTTTCACTTTTAGTGGCATTAGGTTAAAATCAATTGACTAGCATCGAGTCTTTTGTAAAGAAAAAGGCATTTTGTTGTTCCAGATCTGCTACATTGACTTTAGAAAATACGAAACCCAAAATGTAAACGCCTGCAGTTCCATCCGTTCTCACTGTTCCCTTAGTCCGTCCAGCAAGAAGCGAAAAAGTATTGAGAGCAAAAACCGGCCGCGTGAACATGTGCGGAAAAGAAACCTCTTTTACCTCGGGTTTCGTTCGCTCGTGTTTCATGATCAGCAGCCATTTTTGCCCTCGCTTCCTGTTCGACTGGCAACATGTTGACTGTTCTGGTTACGGTCTCTTAAGTTGAAAAACTAATATTGTAATATATTATCAGATATCTTACTACACTCTATATACAACAGTACAACTGTGAAAATTGAATTTAATGTTTTTTGTTGCATATTTTATATTGTCTGTTTTGTTTGTTTGTCGTTTTTTTTTTCTTCTCGATCGAATGAGTTGAAGAACTATATGAATATAGTTCATGGTTGGAGTCCTAACGTCTCGCCAGCATTCTTGTTCGTTTCTTATCTTTTTTGTATTATCCTGTTCAGCAACGGTTGAGATGTGAAGGGCCGTTTCCGAATTTCTCTGATTAATTGTCTGAAACTGGGCCAAAAATTGACAAGGAAGGTACAAACTGAAAAACGTTTGGAAAGCCTCACTTTCCACATCTTTTGCTCGATGTACAAACTGTTAAATCGAAGTAGTTCGATATATATTTCGTTCTTCGAGCCCCTTTAGTCCTCCGCCATATTAAAAATGTCAAACTGTTCACGTATTAACAAATTGGCCATGTTTTAATGAACAATTTTACATA